GTAACGTCACTTTTAAGGATATCATCAATATTGAGCGAGAATTGGCTAAGTTAGCCAGCAAGAAGGAGAAGATTGAGGCACAGGTGGCGAAACTTTTAGACCAAGAAAGTCGAGCCGACTATGAAGCGAAAGTTCCTTTACCAGTTCGTGTCACCAATACAGAGAAGGTAGTTTTTTTTGGGCTGAGCGCAAAATATGCTTTTCCGAGTATGTTTTTTTCAGAAAGAAGCATTGCTTATTGAGATTCGTAGTATTGAAACGGCTATGGCTGCACTGCGGAGCTAAGGCAGGCGGTGTAGTAGCCTGTTACTAATGGTTCGGAATTAACGACCTAGTTTTTGTTGAGTCCTTGTTGTTGATATCATCTGCGATAGCTTTTTTGGTTATGGTTTATTGTTATTCTGTTTTGTTTCGGATGGTCTAGGTCCAATTGAAATAAAGTGTCTTGTTGACTTTAGTTTGAGGGCTTCGAGGAGAAAGTTTTGCAAAGTTCCAAGAGAACTCCGTTGAGTGCAGCCGGCACATGAAAAACCCAGTCATCACTTCCTGTGTCTACAAGTGGTGCTAGTTCTAGAGCCAAGTGGCGCTACTTTCAGCGCAGGATTATATGGATAGGCATGCCCGAGTCCATTTGAGATCAATAATGAGATCGCTTTGTTATGTGGGAATTTATAAGTTATTTTGGATTGAGTTTCGTTTACACACGTGTTCTTGTAGTCATGACGAAATATGCTGTTGCTGGTACAGCTCAGTGTTCTATCAGTATCACTACGATGAATATTGTTTCCCGAATGTGTAACTGTTCAATCTCAGTCATGGTTGAAAATCGGTACTTCCCTCATTTTCTTCTCTAATACAAGTGCAGTTATCTAGTGGTATAAGCTCCTTGTCCCCTTGAAGGCTGTGGGGTGGGAGGCGGAGCGGTTTTGATGACGTCATTGGCTGTACGTACATGCCTTTCCTCCAAATGCGCGTCAAGTGACGACATGCTCTTTCCAATCAGCCCACATTCACTGCCTTCAACCCGGACGAGATCTAGTGTGTGCCTTCCTTGTCTCAATTTCAGAACAAGAATTTGTATCCTTCTTGATAAATTGTTCTTTATTAGTTGTAAATCACGATTTCTACGTGTGTCTATCTTTGTCTGTGATAGTTGTTTTGTGATAGTTTTGTGTGGTAACTATTTCTGTATCGCCTTACAGGATAGCAAAAAACAAAAAATACGCTTGAATGAGCTTCACAACTGGTGGGTGGAGCGACATATCATACACCTCATCTCTTAAGTGACCAAACGTTTTTCTCCTACTACATTTCGTCGTGATCTTTCTGCTCTTGCATGTGGTTCATCGTTTTTGACGCATGATTGAACTTACATTACTTTCAAAAAAGCAGTAAAGTGTTGTTGCAGAGCACTGCCGGCCCGGTGGTGTGTTTTCTTTTTGAGAAATGTTCGCGGCCTTAGTTATTTATGTACAATTTGGATGTGCCTTAGAAAAAAAAACAATAGTTATTCAGAAAGACTCGGATGCTCACTGCTGAGCAGTCGAAGCAGAAAACCCAGAAGGAGACGAAGAGGGAAGCCGCAAAAGCAGCAAAATTGGCGAAATTTGAGGAGAAACAACGAAAACTTCAGGAGAAAGCGGCTGATGCAACAGCAAAACAGAAGGTATTGAATTTTGAGGAGTGTCGTTGAGTGGTCCACGTTGCGCAGTTGCGCAAAATCAGAGCTCCGTGCTCACGATTACTGGTAAGCAAGGTGAAGGTCGGTCAAGGATTTCTTGACGGCTTGTCGATGACTTCCGCCTGTTCAATCATGTCCTCCCACGCGGACATTCACTTTCGACACTACCCTCACACAGTACAGATCCAGGATTGGTGCCATGGTCCAGGATTTCCTCGACCGTTATTCATCCTGGTGCAGGGTGAATATAGGTCGAAGAATTCCTCGACAGGGAGGTCGTATTTGTCAAGGTGGGTCATGGGGGGGGGTCGTGGTCGTGAGGGTCAGTAACTTCAGTGGCATCGTGGTGCAGATAGGAGGGATAGGGTGTAGCGCAGCGGAAAAGACGGATATGAGAAAAAATTGAACTGGAATATTCTTTGCAGGCTTACTCGCTCCATCTCTCTACCTCCGAGGAGGAAGTATTTGAAAGTATACAAAGAATGAAAGTGATTTTCGCAAGGAACGGGGTCACATGTGTACACGCGCTACGAAGGCATTTCCTCTACCAACCGCCCGCTCCCTCGCTCCCAATCAGGGTCTGTCCTATCGTTGTTACTTTTCGAAATTTTTACGACCCCCCTCCCCCATCGTGGATTTGATGCGACCCCTTCCCCCCTCCTGCGCGCCCTCCACTCCCCCAGCCTACTACCCACGAAATCTTAGTTTCACCTCAATCCCACACATGATTTCAAGCGACTAAAGTGAGTACGACCCCCCCTCCTACAAACTCAACCAGGTGCGACCCCCCCCCCCCCCTCCGTTGTTACTCGTAACAACATAGGGTTGACCCTGCTCCCAATACCTCGCTGACAACGGCACTGTTGTTGGGGACGCTGTCGTAAAAACGACAACCTAAAGGAAAGACCCTAGACAAATGAAGTTGTTATTTAGGTTGTATGAGTTACGGAATGTGTATGCAACGCAGCTTTTGTCAACTAGTCATAATCATATAACACCTTCAAATCGATCGAGTGCATGGCCTATACCATATACAGACAAAATCGGATGGTGACGATTGCCCCTTTTGTTATTGCTTATGTTGAAAGAATGTACTCTAGACACATTTCGAGCGTTGCCAACTGATTACACTTGCAATGGTGAAGAAAGGAACGGCTTTTTGAGCGCCCGAGAATCATCCTTGATAGAACCTCGACGCGAATATCTCCTCAACTGGAGGATGTAGAAGGAAACACAACATACTATTAGAAAGCGCAAACCTTCCGCTTTCCAAAGCTGCTTTCATTTTTTCAAGATCCTACAAAATTAGAGAGATATTGCCTTTCGAGTGGCAGAAACTCGCATGAAAAATTCGGGATCCTCAACGCTGCATCGACAAAATTTGGGAGACCCTATCTCCTCGAGTGTAAAGATTTTAGATCAATTTCAGTATTGCTGGTAGTAGCAAATCAAGCTTTATCTAACCCTTCCATACACTGCTCCAAAGGTTGTGAAGTGGTGGAATGGAACCTTATCATGAGAGTATAGATTTCGATGGTTTCGTGGGAGCTTTCGGCAAATCTGACTCCCGGACAAAACGCGCTGCAAGTGAGTGCTTTGCTGTACATTAACGAAACTCGCTTACTCACATCAAATTTGAGTTCGAGGGGTCGTATCATCTCGATGTGAGGGGGGGGGGCGTACTGAGTTGACCATGTCCTCGACACAATTTTCACCCTGTCCTGGTGGTAAGTCATCACTATTGCAGCCTGTAGTAATAGCGCGTAGGTTCAACTGAGTATTACATCCATTTTAGGTCGAAATTCTCTCCAACGTCGGTTCAGATGGCGTACCTCCTGGATGTGCTCATGTGACTATTTCATCGAGATGCACCGTTTACGTTGCTTTACAGGTCTGTGCAAGTTCTGCATATTTCAGTGCTTGCAATAGCTAAGTCTCATTCACTGAGTGTAACGTCACTTTTAAGGATATCATCAATATTGAGCGAGAATTGCTAAGTTAGCCACAGTGCAGAGAAGGAGAAGACTTAGTGCTGCCAACATTTTTGAATGGTCACACGGAGCAGATCCTGGGCCCCATCATCAAACGGGTGCAATCTCGTCCTGGTTGCTGACAAACTATCGATCTTTGGATTTGAAGGAGTGTTACAGTTCAAAGAGCAGTTTATAGCGAAATAATGAGTTACAAATTTTACTTGAGATCTGCATTCGAGCGTACCAGAGTAAGCTAATATTGAATGATTGAGCGGGAAAGATTCTACTAGCGAGCCAGATACCCAAAGATAAATCATAGGACAACAAAGTTTGACCCATCAAATCAATCATGCAATTCTCTCCCAATTTGGATGGCCTAGTGCCACTTTTGACGCTGCGCTACCTCGGTCACCTTTTATCATTTTGCTTGACTTCTCCAGTTTCAGACATCATTCGTGTTCCTTTTGCATTGAACTCTGTCTTGTCTTTCTTTGTAGGCATTTCTCGACTAACTTTCTTCAGTCGGTTTTTACTTCACACATGGATGACTCAGTTTTTGATTCTGTTTAGAGTAATGAAGGTTCATCGGTTGAAATGCATTAGTTATTCAGTTCCAGAGTTGACGACCATGACAACGGCTGTTCAATCTCCTGGGCATGATGAATCTGATGACTCCCTCTATCCGATAGCCGTCCTCATTGACGAACTTCGGAATGAAGATGTGCATTTGCGATTGAATAGCATTCGTAAACTCTCAACGATAGCACTCGCACTCGGTGTCGAACGTACTCGTAACGAACTCATCCAGTTTCTCACAGGTTCGTCATTTTTGATATTTGCAGCTAAGCACATAAATAGCACACTAATTTTTTTCTTCATGGCGGGGAGCGAGACCTCAGCGAAGTGGCTTCCTTTCTGAAGAAATTAATGAAGTAACGGCTCCACCACGTTTTTCACACTTTGCGGCGCGGCGTCGGCGAGCGTGGACCAGTCTGTGGTTCTCGCGAACTGTGCGGACAAGTTTGAAAACGCTCCATCAGTACAGTTCGCAGGCACTAACAACTCGTCCACGCTCTCTGCGGCCGCGCCCCGAAGTGTGAAGAAAGGGGGGAGCCATATGTAACCAGGCTCATTGACAAGGTGTGGCAGGTATAAATGGCGCGATTATGTACTTGCTTTTTTGAAATGAAGAAAAGGATTACAATATGAGACTTCGCATTCTCAAATGTACAGAGATTCCCTTGAAAAAGCTGCTTCGAATTAGGTCTATGCTTCAATGATTTGCTACCTACTTGACAGGATTCAGAATGCTTGGGAGTATAGTTCTTTTTTTGGAAAACAAGGCGAATGTAAAACTTTTCATGGAAAGCTCGTAAACTCTCCTTATTTCAAAATCAGAACCTAACCCTACGCAAGAGGATTTCGACAGCAGGATTCCCTCTTCCTGTCAGTTCATTTGCAATTCATTGGCCGTGCTTTGTGAAAGCACATTACTTCTGAGACATATCTGTGCGATTTAAGCCTAAAGGCACAGTTCAGCCCTTTTAAAGGTTGGCATGGAATAAGTTTTGTGCCAATTTGTATGACTATGGGTGGACTGCCTTCAGTCACATGAACATGGTGATGTCGGTTGTTATGAGCAAGTGTATGGAGTGATCAGTATTGAGAGCATACCCCTGTCCGAGTTAGCGCTCAGTTTCTTATCCTGACTAACTGTAAACTAGATTGAAGTAGGGCCGGTGGGCTGGGGATTCTATCTCACCGAAGTCACTGGTTTGATTTCATTCCGCACTTCTACGAAGTGAACCAACATTTTCCTACGTTTTTGCCTACATTCCGATGTATTAATGGTTCTTTTTCAGATACAATTTACGACGAAGACGAAGTTTTACTAATTCTTGCTGACCAACTAGGAAATTTCACTCCACTGGTGGGTTTTATCATATTTGAGTTCGGCTCGTTGTTCATGACAGGAGTGACAGTAAAGATAGCTGATTTCAGGTTGGTGGACCAGACTATGTTCATTGTTTGTTGCCACCACTCGAAAATTTGGCGACCGTTGAGGAAACGGTTGTTAGGGATAAGGCTGTTGAAAGTTTACGGAAGATAGCTGACAAGCACAGCACAGCGGCTTTAGAAGAGTATTTTATTCCTATGCTGAAGCGCCTAGCAACAGGTATAGACTATTCATAATATATTGCTAGAAGTAACATTTGTAGCTCGTTTGAAAGTAAATTCCTGGAGTTCAGGTGACTGGTTCACGTCGCGCACGTCGGCTTGCGGTCTCTTCAGCGTTGCTTATCCGCGGGTTAGCCCTGCCATCAAGGCTGAATTGAGAAGGTAACAAACTAGTTATGATAGAAAAGATGATGTGTGGATGATGCCGAGTTTTGGTCAACTTGTTTACTGAATAGTCCTCTCAAATGCTTCTCGAATATGCTGCACTATTTCTTTGCTAGGGTGCACATTGCTAAATAAAATACGTTGAAATCGAACCGAGCCTCAACTTCGGCAGTTTCAGCCTGTTTCGTCAGATGTGTCGTGATGATACACCAATGGTTCGTCGTGCGGCCGCTGCAAAACTCGGCGACTTCGCTAAGGTACGCATTCCCATACAACTAAGGGGTCAACAAGACGTTTCTTTTTCAAGTTTTTGTTGTATCCTATCCGAGGAAAGTAGCAGTGCAATAGCAGTTGAACCATTAGGTGTATCACATTAGGTTGTCGATTGAGTTAGTGGATGTGGATTTGGCACTCATGTCGTTGGAGGAGAGGGGGGAGGAAAGGGGGCATTCAAGTGAGTGAGTCATTCACTGTATCTGGAGCCAAGCCTTAGGGAGGAGAAAGGGTTTTGTGGCGCATCTGTTGGTGTCAGCCTTGTTTAGTTGGTGTCAGCATCATCGGCCCCGTTTTGAATTCCACCCTTTCACCTAACAAGGAAGGTTTTTCAAATCGTGGAGCGCTTCTTCGAAACGGTTTTCTGCATTTTGTAGGGTCTCATGCGAATGCAGAACCATGATCCATTTTTCTTGAACGCCTATACGAATGTCACTGAAGAAATGGTCCCGAGTTCGATCCCTGGTGGTGACTAATTTTTGCAATATAGTGTGGCGCCCCCAGATCGCCGCCACATGGCGCCATCGTCGAGAATGGACGTCGTGTGTTCTGCGGCAATTTGGAGGCGACATCAAGTTGCAAAAATTTGTCATCACGGAGGATCGAACTTTTGACCATTTCTTTGGCACTGTGAAATTCGTGCAGGCGTTCAGGAAAAATCGATCATGATTCTGTGTTCCTCACATTAGCCTCTACAACGTTCAGAAAGCCATTTCGAAAAAATGCTCCACGTCCTGAAAGACCCTCCTTGTAAGATCGTGAGCGGGTGCGATTTTCTGTTTTCCACTCACCAGGGAAGGCATTCAACCTCCCATGGAACTTCGAATCAAGACTCAGATATATCAATAGAGCTTCAAACGCTGATTACAAATATGGAAATCAAAACTGCAAAATGAACCTTTCAAGGAAGTTGTAAGCAGTCAAATTGGTTGGAAGTAAAACATTGCATTCGAACTGTCCTGGCTTCCGGACTTTCTAAGTCGCAGTGGAGTAGTGGTAGTGCTCTTGCTGTTCAGCCGGGAGGTCGTGCATTCTCTTCCCGTTGGAGTGAAAATTTCGAGAGCACTACCACTACTCCATGGCGACTTTGAATGCCCGGACAGTACCACGACTCATATGACTTGATGAGAAGAAATTACGGACAGTGGAGCACCGCTGCTGCGCGGTGATACTCGCACTAAAAAGAAACACCGTCTCACCATCCTAATTTGCGTTGGACACACTCTCTGGTATATCTTAAGAATGTATATAATCCTGTGTCCCCTATGGTGGCCATTACTGGCCAACTGAGGCTCAAGGTCGAGAACAAGGGAAGAGAAGTTCAGACCCGCGCAATGCCAACCGCCATGCCGACGGACGGGTCGCTTAAATATTCTAAGTAAATATGCACAAACGGTTGACTGCTCAAGGACTCTGTAATAGCGGTTCTCTCAATTAATCAACAACATCGACCAAACGGGCGAGATTCGTTTTGGACGCCCAGTTTAATTTGATGAAGAGAATGGAAGGGCACTTTTGCCATCAAATAATCGTTCATATTCAAGCAATTAGCTTTAGAAGTTAGCTGCTGCCACAACAATCGTTGGCACGTGAGCGACGGGGAGGGAGCATATGGAGCGCTTAGTTTGGCAACGTCGGCACCATCTTGAAAGTCTCATCAAAATGGTCGTTTGGAAAAGCAAGGACTGGCAACGTTCTTACCGTTCCTTCGAACAATCACTTGAAGTGTTATCTTTCCCGCCCTTTCGTACTGTTTCCTTGGGCAACGATGATGTTGTGTGAACATTCGTAATCCACCTCGTAGGATGCAAATTTCTCTCAGAGCATGAAAAATTGTCAATTCGTGGAGCAACAAGCATTGAGAAAGGTGGAGAATACCTCAACAATGAGTTTCAGTATGTTTTGCTACAAAAACATCCTTTCTCCGCTAAACAGCTTACGAACCTATCTAGCAAAATAGCATCTGTTTCACAGAAGGCACGGTTATTGATCGCGTGCATGATTCCCTGACGTGCGTCACGAAAAAAATATCGATTAACTTCCCCCGCCAATCAAATTTTGGTGCTGCGCGGAATTCAGACATTCCGTCTATTTCTATGATTTCATTTGTTTCACTGAAGTCTACGTTCCGCTAGTTCCAGGTATTTGAACGTGACTTCCTCGTCGATGAACTCCATGCTATGTTCTGTGATTTGGCAGTAGATGAACAGGTTAGGTTGTGGAAGTTCCAAGATAAATACCATTTTCATTCATTAATTTTATTTTTGATTATTCTTTCCAGGATTCTGTGCGTTTACTTGCCGTCGAAGGCTGCATTGCAATGGCAGGGTTGTTATCCGAGGAGAGCCGCCGTGATCTTGTTCGTCCAGTGCTGATGGGTCTTATCGATGACAAGAGCTGGCGTGTACGGTTCATGGTAGCGGAGAAGCTAACCGAGGTATCTCTTAGCTAAGTGTCTATGAAAGTGCTGAGAGAATGGATTTGTTGACTTGATCCGCTGCAGATCCAAGAAGCTATCGGTGAGGACATGACAATGACTGAACTCGTTCCTGCGTTCACTAATCTCTTGAAGGATCCTGAAGGAGAAGTCCGCGGTGCAGCAGCTCAGAAATTGAACAGTACGCTACTAAGCTTATTTCACGCTGTGACAGCGAGGCGTATCAGTTTAATTTTTCAGCTTTCTGCGCCAATCTGAAGAAGAGCACAAGGGAGTCAGCTATTCTCAATAACATTCTGCCGGTTGTGAAGGAATTGGTCACTGATCCAAATCAAGTGTGTTTTATGAGCCAATCTCCGTTTTGTAGCGGACTTCTGAAGATTTTTTAACCGAATGCTTGGGGTATTGTTGCAGCACGTGAAGACTGAGCTTGCGGGCGTGATAATGGGTTTGGCACCGCTTGTCGGAAAGGAAAACACAATCTCTCAGCTTTTGCCCATTTATATGCAGCTACTGAAGGACAGCACTGCCGAAGTCCGCCTTAATATCATAAGCAGCCTGGACAAGGTTTGTTATTGAGTTCCAGCATTTACAGCGACCAAGTGGGACGCTTCCAGTAAGGTTTGTTTTAGGTCAACGACGTCATCGGGGCATCGCAGCTTTCCCAATCCCTTCTTCCAGCTATCGTCGAACTTGCTGAGGATGGGAAGTGGCGCGTGAGACTGGCCATTGTTCAGTTCATGCCACTTCTTGCTGCACAACTCGTGAGTGTTTTCATCTTGTTTTTGAGCCCAACTTATTTTATACTCAATTCAGGGGCAAGCGTTTTTCGATGAGAAAATGCTACCGCTTTGTCTCAACTGGCTCTGTGATCATGGTGAGTAGATTGAGTTATTTATTTTGCAAGGCATCCACCACCATGCTTCCCTACAGTTTATGCAATCCGCGAAGCTGCAACGGCTATTCTAACTGAGCTTGCTGGGAAATTCGGTGGAGAGTGGGCAACGAAGAATATAATGCCGAAAGTGCTCACCTTGTCCAAGGTAAGCTGGTTGCAGAATTCAGAAGGACAACACTTATTTCAACACTTGGCTTCACAGGATCTCAACTACCTGCACCGTATGACCTGCCTGTTTTGTCTAAATTCACTTGCCGAAGCTGTAGGACCCGAACAAACTGCGAAGGAAATCATGCCGGTGATCAAAGAGGTTGGGATTCTTGAGATGAACTGTATTTTTCGCCTTACTCAGCCGAACTATTTTATTTCCTTCTTTAGCTCAGTGAAGACAATGTACCTAACGTACGATTCAATGTGGCGAAGGGATTAATGAAGATTGGAAAAGTTGTGGATGCGAGGTTTGTCGAATAATTTATTCTCATGATTTATTGAAAACGGAATGGGTCGTGTATGTTGTGAGCAGGGTGCGTACTAGGTATCGACGTTGACGAGTAGTATAGCGCATGAATTTTGTTTGAAAGAACCCACCAGTTGAGAATTGTGGTTAAAGACTGCCTTGAATGCAGGATCGCTCCCTGTTTGAAATTGTCAGGTCTAAGTCTTCGACCGAGGGCGTGCCTAACACGGAACACGGTACTTATGCAGAAGTCTGCTGATAACAGGGAATTGCCGACAGCTGTTGGGCGCCACTCACTATCCCTTCCATATTTCCTCATCCTTGGTATTACTCACATATATCAAGTTACTGCAATATTAATGTCGCACAGATTTACTTCCACTCCACTGGACAGCTTTGAATCTCTAGTGGTATTTGTGTATTCATTGGAGAAAGGACATCTAAGAGTACTGAATTGACTGCTCATTGGTCATACCATTTTGTTTTTTCACTTGAAATTTTCTTTTGAACGATGATTAACCGAAATCCGTGTGTGTGAACGTGAATGTTCTACGACAACTCGAGGAGATGAGTGCGCTGACTCGACAAGCAACAGATTCAACTATTGCATAATCTGGCTACACGACGGCCGGGATGCTTATCACGGGAAAAACACTACCAGCAAAACGACTGCGAGACCAACTGAAGACCTTTGACTTTCCCGCTTAACAGCTCTCGTCACAACTTAGTGTGCTTATCCAATCATGCGGCACGTTGTAATGGAGAAACTATCCTGAGACTTCAAAAAAGGCTGATTTTGAAGTTGCACAGCTGCTACAGTTCTTTGAGAAGAACTTCGACTTTCTGCGTGAGGAGTTACGGGGATTGAGACAATACGGTAATCCATTAGTTGTGAGGTGCCGAATACTCCAACAAATGTAAGCTCCATCCTGAAACGGTATTTGTATTGCAGCAACCTATTAGAATAAATATGTATAGCCGGTCCTGTTATATTATGTAATGGTATTCACCACTACACACCTTCCCAGAGGCGTGCACAACCTCATATCTGATAAAATAATAGTCCAATTCACTTGGGCAGCTGTTGGAAAGCTTTCGTGCCCTCAGTCGATCTTGTCGAACTCCGTTCCAAGTAGAATCACAGTAATTTACATTCTGCCAAATATAGGGATTTAAAATTTTTCTTCCAGCGTGCTTCAAAACGAAATCAAGCCAATTCTCGTGAATTTATGCAACGATGCCGATTTTGATGTTCGATACTTTGCTGAAGAAACGAAGAACGCCCTAGGATTACATTAGCTGTTCTAATACTTCCGTTTTAATTTCCGTGTTTTTTTTTGAGTTGATTGTGTTCTACAATAAATATTCCTACAATTGACTCGCGACATTTTTAATATCCTCCCATTAACTCATCAATGATTTCTAATGGTAAATTTGCAGACATGCTAAATATTGAGGAAGCGTGCTCGGCTATTAGCGTGTACGAAAATGTTTGATAATCACGTCCCGTTGAGTATTGTTTATTCGTCGTTTTCAATACACCTGTCTTTGCTATTATAACGACCGTTTTTAAGCCCACTCATGTTCAGTAGCTCCGAATCACATTGTAGTGTGTAGGCATCTGCTCGAGACTTGACCAATTTACGAATTGGATTTCGTCCGTCTTCTTTTCTAATACGGATTTTTTTATAAGCTAACTCTATCGATCATTTGGTTTTCTCATCATGATCATTATTTGTAATTCGTCGATTTGTTGTCAATCTAATATTGTCGTTGTGCTCGACTTGTATTCATCACGAACCCTAACCTTTAGGTAGTGTCGGAGTTTAACGACTGCTCCTTCATGTTTCGCAGAATGTATCTTTATCTTACCCGCAAATAAACAGTAAAAGAAGCTGTCAAAACGGAGTGATGAGTGTTGAAAAATGGTGTTCCGCTTCATTATTTTGCTTATCCTTGGGCCTGTTCTAGTGGAAAGCACATTTCATTTAGGTGTACAGGGATGGTGAGTGCGGAGCAGCCAAAGCAGAAGACCGAGAAGGAATTGAAGAAAGAGGCCGAAAAGGCGGCAAAACTGGCGAAGTTCGAGGAGAAGCAAAGAAAGCTCCAGGAAAAAGCTGCTGCCGCTACGGCAAAGCCGAAGGATGTAAGTTTCCTGCGAAAAGTTTTTGGGACGCGCAGGACATTTCACTCCAAGGTGTCTCATTCATCATAGATGCTGCAACAAGAGGAAGACGCTGGAGGGTGATCGCACTGAACGGTACTTGATTTGCTGGGATTGCTTTGTGTTGAGTCTTTGGGAATCTTGCAGCTAGCTTAGCAAGACGCTTCACGTGATGAGCTGCGAACTGGGACTTTGAACTTAAATTCCTAAGAATTTTCAAAAATATAAGTACTAAAATAGTACGCCGTAACCCGTAGGGCAGTGAGGTACATGCGTTGCACGGTATGCCCAGGCTTATAGTAGACCGAACATCGAGTTTTTTGGACTTTCATGTTTCACATTGACCTTGCGAGTGTCCGCAGCCAGCTAAGTAGCCCTTTTCGAGAGATGATTCTTGATGAAATATGCGGGGATCATAAAGTAATGTGGAACAAATTATATATGTAACAAATAACACTTTCAGGAAAAGATCGTTAAGAAAAAGGCTGTTGCGGAGCTGCCGAAACCAATTGTGGGTAAAAATACTGGTGAAAAGAAAGGTAATCACTTCACAGCTTTTTTTAGTTTGCGCATCTGCCATCTTTCCAGGCAAAAGGCTTTTTGAGTTCTGCGTGTGGTTTCCGTGTCATTCAAGAACCTGCAATTTTTCGTATATTTGTTACATACCCTATTACATTATATTTGCTTCTGTTTGGGGCTTATTTTGAGCAAAACAGATTACTCATGCCATATCAGTCATCTAACTGTACAAAACTGTCATGCTTTGCGGAAATTGCTAGTTTTGAAATGACATCAAAAACTTCAAAAATTTTCAGCAAAAGTTCGAAAAATCATCACCTAAAAAACAGCGAGTAATTCTGCTCAGCTCGATATTACTAGTAATAGCGACTTGAACCACAAGGTAGAAGGTGCCAGTGTAGAAAATATTCTTGTAGATGTAAGCGCTGGACTTCTGAATGTATACGATCCCGGCTACGTTGAGTCGGACTGGTACGCTTGGTGGGAGAAGGAAGGATTCTTCAAACCAGAGTACGGTCGACAGAATGCAACGTAGGTGCTGGAGATTTTGACTGTAGTTTTTGATTGTTTGCGACATTTTGGCCGCAGGTCTTCTAGTCCCGTCTAACCAGGAAAAGCTTTCAGAATATGGAGCGCTTCGAAATCGTTTTTCACATATTATAGAGACAAGCGCGCGGAGCATAAAACTGAGGAAAATATTTCTGAGCGGCTCTGGGAATATTGAAAAATAATTCAAAACAATGACCTGTGGTTCCATGTGACCCATCCCCACTATGGACAATTTTTTGCATTTCTTCGATATCCACTTTCTTGCGTTCATATATGTCCAGAACTATTCAGAGAGCAAAAAGCTTTCAAGATGCAAGTTTTCAACTCTACAAATGCTGTAGGGTTTGTTAAAGCTGGAAAAGTTTCACTTCTCATGAAAAATTTTGTGCCTTTTTCCCGTTAAGAAAAGTAAGTACCATTATGCTTCACGCACGTGCTCCTACAACATGCAAGAAAACGTTTCGGAAAAGCGCTCCATGTCTTGAAAGACTTTAAGTCTGGTAAATATCTAAGATTTGTTCACAACCCACCATTCTTCTGACTATAGTTTTAACCCTTTGACGACCGCCGTTATGCATGCGTCACTTCACTTCTTTTCACATTTTTTTCATCAGTAATTATTAACTCCCCGGAAATTCTATTATTGATAACTAGGGCATTATTCCGTGGATTCGATAATGTATATGTGTAGTTGCGAAACATAGAAAATGTTAAAATAAACCACGAAAAACGAGTCGCCACCGAGCGAAAGTGTGGCCCACCGGCGGGCCACACGGTCGTCAAAGGGTTAATATTTCCTTCTTTCCAATAATTATAGGACACCTAATCCGAAAGGAAGCTTTACCATTTGCATACCTCCGCCAAATGTAACTGGTACGCTTCATGTTGGCCATGCGCTTGCCACTACCGTTGAGGACACTTTAACGAGATGGTGGGTTCAACGAGATGGTACATCGTAGCTGAATACTTTCTCGTAGAGCACATAAATGGGTCTTCAGGCACCGAATGAAAGGAAGGACCACACTATTCAATCCTGGGTGTGACCATGCAGGCATTGCTACACAGGTATGTTGCTCTCCGCATTTTATCTACCCAAGCCATTTGACTTTTTGCCTGTTGTGAAGCTCAGTTACACAGGTAGTCGTGGAGAAGAAGCTGCAACGTGAAAAAGGTCTCACACGACATGATCTCGGTCGTGACAATTTCATCCAAGAAGTGTGGAAGTGGAAGAACGAGTCAGTGATTGCTGTGTTCGGATTTGCTCCTAGAATAGCTCCAGTATTTTCAATTAACTTTAGAAAGGGTGGGGTGATCTACGATCAGCTGCGGAAGATGGGTGCTTCGGTGGACTGGGATCGTGCTTGCTTCATGATGGATCCGAAGATGGTGCGAGCGGTCACTGAGGCTTTTGTTCGAATGCACGAGCGTGGTACCATTTACCGTTCGAATCGCCTCGTAAACTGGTCGTGTGCTCTTCGAAGTGCCATATCTGATATTGAGGTAAACACTCAAACAGTGTAGTCATTTTATCGTGAAAACAGACTGCAAAGGAAAGGAAACATCTGATGAGTAACAGCGCTTTTGTCACTACTTCAATAGGAGTGCAGTGATTCTGACGCACGCACCAAAACTTCTCCAAGTTGACAAATAGGAGCTGGTTTTGGAGATCGAGTCGAACCATGCTGTGGTTTGAACGCATGAAACACATTACTTTAGGTTGACAAAAAGGAGCTGACTGGCCGCACACTTCTTCCAGTTCCTGGCTATGAAGAGAAGGTCGAATTCGGAGTTCTCACATCCTTTGCTTACAAAATTCAGGGAGGAGGTGTGTGAATAGTGCTGGTCAATATTTGAATAGGCGACTTTCAACTTTGTCTGTTCAGATGAGGAAGTGGTTGTTTCGACGACTCGTGTGGAAACAATGCTTGGTGATACCGCTGTTGCTGTTCACCCCGACGACCCTCGCTACCAACATCTCATTGGCAAGGCGAGCGCTTCTTTTAAAGTCAGAGATTACGATAAAGTGTGTGTGCAGCGTGGAAGTACGTGCACCAGTGAAAGCAGTAGTAAGGGGCCAAGGACAGCGAAATGTGGCGTTTATGTGGCTAAAGGTGCGCTAGCTGCAGCGTACTGGGCTTGCCATTCCTTTCTGAGCTCTGCCACTGCTTCTGCAGCAGCGCCCTTCGATTGTCATTTTGATGAGGTTATTCCACTCTAAGTGCGTATCCTATAACTTTCCCATGGAACACGTTACCAATAAGAATATGCCCGTTGCTGGTGTGATGGTGGCTCTCGGTTTGAAATGTGCAAAAGACCTCTTATTCGGTTGCTAGCTCGTCCATTATCGGAGGTCAACGGGTAAGGGCAGGGGTCCCCTTTTGCGCGTTCTCGATGGATTTCATTGCTTTTTTTCGCTACTGGGGCATTACTCAGCATCGCCAGTTCCACGTAAACCCAGCCCAATCTTATTTCAATCCCTCGCTTTAAACTTTTCGAACGGCCCCTACAAACTGCCGCACTATCTCTTCAGTTCAATCTGAATACCGCAATTGCAGACTTGTATCCATCCCTTCGTTGACCGCGAGCTTGCGATCGTCCCAGACACCTTCGTCGATCGCGAGTTTGGAACTGGTGCCGTGAAAATCACACCAGCTCACGATCACAATGACTACGAAGTAAGCTGCTGCCGAGGCTTTTTTCACGATGTTCCATTCTGCGGTGAGCATTTGAGGTTGGAATTCGCCACGGCCTTCCTTTCATTACCTGCATCGACGATGACGGCATGATTTCTCCGGGTTGCGGGAAGTTCTCTGGGATGCGTCGTTTCGATGCAAGAAAAGCCGTCACCGAAGCGCTGAAGGAGCTGAATCTCTATCGCGGATCAGAAGATAACGCTATGGTTGTTCCAGTGTGCAGGTAGGTCCAACTAGTTTTATTGCAACTTTAGAGAGCTGTTTTTTTTTTCGCAAAAAGAGAATCGCACCCTTATTAACTTGCTTGAAAACTTCCAGTTCCATTTTTGTCGTTTGTTGATTATATTTCAAATATTTCAGTCGCTCCAAAGATATCATTGAGCCCCTCCTGAAAGCTCAATGGTACGTAAAATGTGACGAGATGGCTAGGAAGGCTATCGAAGCTGTCGAGAGCGGGGAACTCAAGCTCATCCCCGACTACCACGTCGCGACTTGGAATCGTTGGCTCCAGGGCAGCAGGTCTGTTTGCTTTAATGCTTTTGTGAGTGGTAGAGATTCTCCAGGGAATCAGAGTTATTAAGGGATTGGTGCATCTCCCGCCAGCTGTGGTGGGGTCATCGCATTCCAGCCTATTTTGTCACAGTCACCGATGGGAAGGTGAGTGTCGTTGCTCCTGACAGTCATTTGTCACACATAACGCTTCTAGACCCCAGCCGGTGATCCTTGTGACGATCATTACTGGGTATCAGCTCATTCTGAAGAAATGGCGCTGCAAAAGGCGGCGAAGAAGTTCAATGTTGACCCGAAATTCATCCAGCTGAAGTGGGGTGAGTGTATGAACGAATTCGGAACATTTCATGTTCTATGTCTTTTTTCTTCAGATGAAGACGTCCTGGACACGTGGTTCTCGTCAGGTATGTGGCCGTTTGCCATCATGGGCTGGCCGGAAAACACTACCGACATGCAGCTTTACTTCCCTTCAAATGTTCTTGAGACTGGTGAGTGTAACTTGTTTTCTCTATAAGGATATTGAGAGATTCAATGATATTCGCTTTGAGTACTGCTAATGCAAGTTTTCAGGGCATGATATCCTGTTTTTCTGGGTCGCTCGAATGGTTTTCATGAGTCAGGAGCTCACGGGAAAGCTGCCCTTCAAAGAGGTAGGTCCGCTGATTGAGCGCGATATTATGAAAGATTCGTCTTCGTCAGGTCTATTTACACGCAATGATTCGAGACGCTCATGGGCGTAAGATGTCGAAGTCGCTTGGCAATGTGATTGACCCTCTCGATGTAATCAGGTGCGCTGAAGCTTCGCTTCGGTACTCTGCTCTCAGTATGGAGTTATTTTCAGAGGTGTAACATTGGCAGAGTTGAATCACCAATTGACTACAGGCAATTTGGACGCGAAGGAACTTGCCATAGCGCAGGCTGGCCAAGCGCGAGATTATCCAAAAGTGAATATATTTCGTTCACAAGGCTTGATTTAGGATCATCTCACTGTATTCAGGGTATCCCAGAATGTGGTACTGATGCACTCCGATTCGCTCTTTTGGCCTACACAAGCCAAGGCCGTGATATCAATCTCGATGTTCTCCGTGTTCAAGGTTATCGCTTCTTTTGCAACAAGGTGAGATCAAGCAGCGCTTTTCTGTGGTCTTGACTGCTTAGATTGCGAATTATTCTTTTAGATATGGCAAGCCGTGAGATTCACTTTAATGCAGCTAGGCAGCGATTACCACGCGGAGCCCTTCAAGGTAAGATGAGCCTGGGCTTAGTCGCTGACCCTTTCACACGCCCTATTTTTCAGCTCAGTGGCAAGGAATCAATCATGGATTTGTGGATTCTGTCGCGTGCCGCTTTTGCTGTCAACCGTTGCAATGCAGGCATGGAGGCGTACAACTTCACTCAGGTCTGTTCTGTGTGGAATAAGTATGACTGTAGGCATACGCTCGTTGCGAGATTTTTTGGGAGTGTTCGCCTCGAGACTGTGAATGAAGGTTCCACTCTCAGTGGTTCTCTTTTCGCTGATTTCAGTGTTCACTCACGCAGGTGACTGCTCACAGCTAATGTTTTTGCTTCAGGTGACTACCACCCTGTATGACTTCTGGCTGTACGATCTCTGCGATATCTATTTGGAAGCTGTGAAACCAGTCATCGCTTCAGGTATTTCTGTTTGAAGTAATAGAGGCAAGCATGCTTTCTTGGGAAGGTTTTTTTAAAGGAACTGAGGAAGCACGCGTGACTGCCAAAGCGACCCTCTACAACTGCGTCGAAGCTGGTTTGCGATTAATCAGCCCGATCATGCCATTCTTGTCCGAGGAGCTTTGGCAGCATCTCCCTCGTCGTCGGTCTCAACCACCGGCGATGATTGTCCATGCTTATCCAGAAGTTTCTGAGGTAGACCAACGAAAAAAGTGATGGAGACTTGGTCACGATGGCATTAATCATTTCTAGTTTCCATTCACCAACGAGAAGATCGAAGCTGATGTTTCATTCGCGATGAGTGTCATCCGTACTGTTCGATCACTTCGTTCTGACTACGAGTTGACGAACAAAACGAAAACCGATCGTAAGTTCAGAATTATTTCTCACCACTTTATGGATCGCACTTGAGAACTCACTTTAGTTTACGCGTCCGTAAGCTCTGCGGAAGACCACAACTGCTTGACGTCGTTAATTCCCTTGATTGAAACTCTTGCTTCAAGTAATAAGGTCTGTCTTCGATTATGCCATCCGTCGGGAAAATTAGAGAATTGAAAACACGAATGTGGCATTGGTTTCGATGTTGACGCCAAATTGCGTTAGAGTTAGTAAGCGAATGTCATATTAATGATCACGACGCTCTGTATGTAAACGTTTATCGAATTTGGTAAAAAAGGGTGACGCCAATGTCCAAAACGAATGCCACAATCATGATGAATGTACCGAGCAATACCTATATGCCAATTCGTAAGTCTAGGAGGGGCAGAAACTTGGGGGAAAATACAAGATTGCTCGCATTCAGGGATATATCCTATCCTTTCCAGACTAGGGGAACACATAATCCCTTTAATTTTCTTTGTCTTTCCTGAAATAATCGCCCTGAAGAAGTGGATAGTTGTACTGGTATCCCTTCTCGGCCTCCTGAGGCTTAGTCCCGATCAGGGGCCGTAACGTATGCTTCCCCGAAGCTTTGGGGGACGAAAATCCCTTTAAAGGCAAAGTTCGGGCTCAGACCCACGTAAGAAGCTCTTACCATGGCTGGAAGTGCTGGGCACCCAATAGCAAAGTTAGTGCCACCTTTCTACCTCGAAATCCGTCACCAAGACCATAGGCGCCGTGAACTTGTAACAGACTCCACCAAACATAACATGGTCCGCCCACCAATCGATGTCTTGTCTGCGCCGCTGCGTAGATCTGCTCTGCTCTCTCTCCACGGAATTCTCTACTACCTTCTGCGCTCACGTTATCTCTCATCTCCCTCTCTGTTTCTTGAACTTCTCCACAGCAGTGAGCAGAATGCTCGTATTTCCTGGGCATGTCAGGATTCTCTTTCTTTTTTTTCCATTGGCGGTCCACCTCTCATCCTCATTTTCACATTTGAGTGGAATCAACCCATCAATGTGAACTTGATTCCTGCCTTTAAATTTTCTCTGTCTCAATTGTAATGATAAAGGGCCTATGTTTAATATATGTGTGTAGGTTAAAGTGAACATGCATTGAAAGAAGCAGTATCGTTCAAAACAAAAAAAATTGAAGGGATTTTCGTCCCCCAACCATTCGGGGATGCTAACCTTACGGTCCCAGGAAAGAGGAGATGTTCACGCGGCTTAGATGCGTTGCTTTCATATGCCCTCTTCTACTGCGATAGCGTAACAACTAATGAATTATTGATGAGTGGAAACAGTAGTAAGGATACTCCCAGTCAAAATGCCGCATTGTTTTTGGCTAGTTTACAAGTGGGCAGAGTTATGAAAAACAGAAATTCTCATCCATCCATCGACTACTTTCGGGATGCTTTGCGATCTATAACTCGGTATAACTTTTGTTGGAAACTGTTTAGCAGTTGAATACATAAAGAAACCATTCGCATTTTGAGTTTTTTTGTGATGGTAACTAAGTTAGAGCTTAAAATGGCAAACAGTTCCTCTCATTTCAAACACGATTTACATGGACAGAAACATGTAGACAAGGCATGCAACATCGTAATAGAGATTTCTGTGATTTGAAAGAAGTAGGCGTTGACGAACAGAATTAATGATATAACTACATTTTTCTACATTCCGAAGCCGGAAAAAATGATCCTCAATTTAATGGCACAACCGGCGTGCTCTATATACATGCAGAAAAACCGTTTTTTTTTTCTTAAGCGGTTCTCGTCCAGAAGGACCTTCCGGTTAAACTAGCCTTTGAGGGTTATTCACTACCTGAGCTAGGTTGAGTAGGGTTGATATACTAGATTGTGTAGGGTTGATATAAAAACGCTTCATCGACTTAGATGAGTTACGACAAAACCTTAACTAGCAAGGAGCAGTGAGCTTGCTATATATATTGCTGTCTGAACATTAACTATCTAGAAGGTCTACGTAAACGAGATGATGATGGGCAAAAAACTGAGCTTAACCTTCTCAATTACTTGACAAATCCTCGGATATTTTTTAATACTTCGAAACAGAACTAATTATTGAAAGAGATAGTTATAAAGAATCATAGCATGAATCACGCTCTATCCAAATATTTGAGCATTTTAGAAGGTCATAAGAAGAACTCCTACCTTGTATGCCTCATTGATAGTCTCTTGAAGAATGCAAGCCTCATTGTAGAATTCGCCACGGATATAAATGTAGGCTGCTCGGGCTCCCATCGCCACACCAGCAATCAAACATCCCTCGATAAGCTAAATAGGATACTTCGATTCAGAGAAGGAAAAAAGGATAGGAAAATACAAAATCTTCAAAAGCTTAGAAGAGAATCAATTCAAACCTTGTGAGGGTCATGCCTCATGATTTCACGATCTTTACAAGTACCCGGTTCTCCTTCGTCAGCGTTCACGACCAGATATTTTGGGCTGAAAAAGAGCAGTGAGAAAAAGGGAATGTTGAAGTGGATGTTAAGATAGCATGTAAACACAACACAACGAATTTTACACATGCATACAAATAGTTACTGAATATGCATTATTGTGTGCCAGTCAGTAAAACCAATTTCATAATTTGCGCATAAAATGCTGCGTAGTTGCGTTTCCTTTTCCTTGAAAAATTGTACTGCGTGTTTGTTTTTCCCACTGTTTAGACAACAGCTGACTTTTTGCAGAGTCCAACATTTCAACATCCATGTCGAAGTTTATGTTGGTACGAAAACGCCAATATTAGAACATGTTACGCAACAATGAGATGCGAATGAGATCCATTAGGAACGTTCGTGGTTCTGCCACTGCGCAAGTAAGAACACGTCCAGAACAAGAACCATACCAATACCCGGTCCCTCTATCCTTAAAAAAACGCAATTCGCATCAACTAATACCATCCCATCACAAAATAAAACATAAATAAATAAGGAGGCGGAAGTGGTGTACTTGCAAGTGGAACGTTTACCACGCGAGCGGTCCGGGGATTAAATCCTGGGTCGTGGATCGCCCAGCCCGACCAAGCCTTCCATCCCTCCGGGGTCAGTTAATCTTATTTATTTTATTTTTGCCAGACTTGTCTGGGAGGATAAAAACACTGACTTGTACATCGGCTGGCTCCCGCAAGTCATTGTATATGCCACATCGCATTCAAGCGCCACTAGGAATTTACAAATGGAAGTAGAATGCGTGCCGCATTCCAAAAAGGGATTGATCATAGGCAAATGCTTTATCCTTTTATTTTTTATCACAAGCAGTTACACACGCAGAACGTGATAGTTCTTGCTCGATGAAATAAGCGCGATACTTACCGTCCATCGAATGGCTTATTCATAAAGCCCCACTTCATCCCAGCAGGAAAACCAGCACCTCCTCTTCCACGAAGGCCGGAAGTGCGAATTTCATTGATGATCCATTCCGATCCTTTGAGAATAATCTCTTTGGTTTTGTACCAGTCACCCTGCATATGAAGATCATTGTATCCTGACATTCCTTGATAGCAGAAAATATTCATACTTACACGAGCCAGAGCTCCTTTCAAGCGATAGTCGCGCCGCCCATAAAGATTTGTAAATATGCGATCGCTGTCCTTCAAGTTCCCAAACGAAGTCTTCTCGGGCTTTTTTGGTGGCGCAGGAGCGGCTGAGGCAGCTCCACGAATAGCTGCTATTCGAGAAACTGGAAGTATGGTTAAAATAAGCACAAAACGTAAGGAGAGAAGTTTTAAAAAGTACAAATTGATGGGTAGACTAATACCTTACCAGATCCAAAAGCACGACCTCCCAAGATGATGGGAGACGCCATTCACGAGACGTCTGAAACGTGCAGAGAGTTAAAACAAATTACTGAGATAATGGCAATGTCTACACACAGAACAACCAAGAAATAATACAACTTTTACTACGGTAGGCAAAAAAAGGGTCTGCTATCCCGAGCAAATAACGATGAAGAAGCCACAAGGTGAGGAAACCGCCAAATAGTGGATTTTTTAGAGAAATTCATGAAGAAGATGTGAGTTCATCAAAAACCGCTGCGTCTAATGCTCCGAGGAGGACTTCCACTGAAGTTTTGAAATCACAGAGAACAAGAGGAAAACATCCGAATTACTGTGCGCTAGTATTCCAGGCAAGAGCACCACACACGCTACACCCGACGTTCTATTTTTGCATGGGAAAGCTACACGACAACTCGTCCATCCACCCGACTCAACTCAACATTCGAATGGGAAACGTAGTACACAGACATATCCTAGAAGGAACTCACAGAATGGGCTGATCATGATTAGATTAGGGTTCCTTAGCAAAATGATCACGGCAAAACCGGTATAGGACCCAAAAGTTGGATGTGGGTTGTGACTACCGGATTTCCAGAGGTTACAGATTTCAGAATCGCAACCAAAATAGCACCGATTAATTAAACAGTGAGTGGATATCGGCTCAGGGAATCTGATAAGCTCCGAGAAAACTCAGATTGGACCTCTTCTGGGAGGAAGGAAACAACTCTCACATCGAAATCACTCTTACAATGACAAATCGCTGAATCGCCGAGGGAAGTGAGTGATGGAGGAGAGTGACGGCGAGGGCAGAACACTGCGGAGAGTCAGCAAGAGCTGGACGAGTTCCCGCTCCGATCGATTCTACACTTTAACGACCTGACCACTACGCTGTAACTCGACTAATATCTTTATTTCTATTAACTAAAGGAGTACTATCCAGGTATGAGACTGCATAAGAATACCTTATATATGGATGACTCACACCAGTTTGGCTATTTCGACATTTTCGTTTCGAAAGTGGGAACGCCTTCATTGCGCTTTATTTCTTCAATCATAACGAAACCCTTCGCTCTCGATTTGCTTCATACAAGTGCACATGGTGGCTCGTTACGATAAGTTTACTCATTCTCTGCACCGAATTGATCGATAATTTCTATGCGATTCTGCTCGGCTCTTTTCGCAATACAAGCTACAGCTGAACGATGTTTTGCTATAGTATCGACACCATTCTGACAGTGATGAGAACATTACATTATGTCCATTCCAGCGTTTTTCAAGAACAAAGTAAAACATTCAAAATCATCCTCGAAATCTCGTATTTTGGTAATAATGTGTCCGCAATACCACGTTGTTACGCAATTCGCGTGCTGCATTCTGCACATCACCATATGGACTGCATTTCAATTTGTAAAAAAACTTTAACCCTATCCAACCATGTCCGTTCGCCAAAATTCTATCAGTGGAACGTTTAGCCGATTTAACTTCGGATCAGCAATTCCGTCGGTGCACCGAATATGCCGCGGTTAGTGCAGCCCTTTATGTCGTTTTTTCGATAGTTTTTTTTTCTCAGAGGACTCATGCATAGTCGGTCGTCCGATCGTAACGATCGCATTGCGTTGGATATGTATCGATCGTTCAATCTGCGAAGACGTCTGACGATCGATACGTACTCAATGCTGTGCGAATCGTTCCCATCGGACGACTGACTATGAATGCGCCCTAATACAATTCCCTCCAGCGCAAAGCTGCATCGCAGTAAATCTGTAATCTGTTCGGAAATATAATTCACCAAGCAGTAAGATCACTAGCGCGTACATTTCACAAGTCTCAGATTGACCTATGGAAAATTCTAAGCCATCTTTCTACACTCAGTGATTGGGTCTCACTCAGTAGGGAAGGGTTGGGGGGTATGTGATCTGATATTCCATATCGCGTGAAGTAATTCAATTTTTCTCGAGAGAAATGAGTGTGAAAGCGAAAGCGAAATGATTCACCCACCCCGGGATTTCTTCCCCTACAAAAATTGGTGTTTCTGAAGTGGGCAGCGACTATCCCATAGCATGCCCTCCTTACTCGATGATACTCCAGTAACTGTCTTTTAGAGGAAAACAGATTAGACGTTTTCGCAAGGCAGGGGAGGGCGCTCATGTCCTTAGGGGGGGGACATTCAGAACAGGGTATTCAAAAACTGGCAAGTGACACCAAGTCTAAGCCTGGGATTGTGGCAAGTGACACTAAGTCTGAAGCCTGGGATTGGAAATAGCACCAGGGAGAACAACAGGTTGCTCACACCCAATCCCAGAATCCTTTACCCTACCTAAGGAGGCCTAGTCCCGAGTTCAGTGTGGGCCACTCACTTCAATGTCCCCTCCCCCCCCCCTAAGGATATGAGCGCCCAAGGGAGTAGGCATTTGCTGCTAACAAAAGGAATATGCCTTATGGTTTACGTGCATATTTGGCCATTTCTGTAATTTTACTTCCCTATTTGCATTACAAGACCACCAATAATGTTTCCTCTTAGTTGAAATAACTTCACAGTTCAATAAAATGAACGAAAGTTCGACGAAGCTCATTATCATGTTTGTGGCATATTCGCAGTCGCACGGAAACGTCATGAATCAGTAAGGGCGTTGCAGTGATGAAAAAATGACATTACCTTGATTCCAGTTGATAACTTGGTACGAAATTTTTTTCAAAAAAATCTATTAGGAAGCGAATGGAGGAGGTAGAAATGCTCTCCGTTGGAGGAAGCTTGAACGATACCAATCTAAGAAGCATTTTTAACTGCGCATTAGACCATGTCAGGTCGTGAATGGAAGACCTTCGAAGAAAGCCGATGCTAATTGGCTCAGTTCGCTGATCATTTTTTGTATCACTATCCCCGTTCGTCGTTACTGTATTAAAATTTGCCCACTAGAGACCGAGGCTTGATTCATTCTAACTTGTCACTTCTGTTACCGAATAGAGTCAATGCGACTTTTTTCGAAGCTCCTTTAAAGTAAGCTACTACTCCTCTTTTTGACTACACAGCTGCTCTCTCCTTACCAATTTTATACTTTATTTTTCATCATGATTCGTCAGTGGTTTAGAATTTCCTGGCAACAGAGTAACATTTGTCTTGCTCAAATTTGCTCTTCTTCCATCATCTTTTATCTTCTCTGGGCACTATTGTACTACTGCAATGCTAGGAGCCCACAACTGCACAACCTTAAGAGGATCAAAATTTTTTCTCTTACCAGAAAAGTGTTCAGAACATGGAGCGCTTCTCCAAAACGATTCCTCGAATATTATAGGGGTACATGCGAGGGGCATAAAACTGATGATTATTTTTTCTGAGCGCCCTTGGGATTGCCAGAAAAAAGGCAGAAACTTTGTCCTGGGGCAAAAAACAAGAGGAGAATAGAGGAATGATTAGACTAACGATTTGAGAGAACGACTGGAGTCTATGAATTCGTGCTGGGGCCGTATCCTATTCTTCCCCCAGGGTAGAAGAGAAGATTCCTTCGAATTTTTTAGTTTTTAACTGCATAGTTTCCTTACTTTCAGCACATGGTTACTTTTACACATGTACAACACTATAAGTAGGCCATTTCTCAGGACAATTGTGGTTGGGAAAACAAAGAAAATTTGAAAGGATTATTTCTTAATCTAGTCTGGGGAAAGGATAGGATACGGCCCCTTATCTGCACCTCTGACACTTGAATTACATTCCGCCTGGTAGATTCATTGGAAATAGTTTACAGTAGTTCGAAAATGTTTCAACGCAAAGCTTTGTTAGTGCAGTTCGACGCGTTCATAATTGTAAGAAGGCAAATAGAGTATAATCCATAGCTAAAATTTACTTGAGCTGATTGGAATCAGTGATGTTTTCCTAACTAGCCCATCCCTGGAATTCTTCATCAATCACTGAAAGCAACCGTGCTGCGTTTTCGGGGTTGACAATTACGGAATCCGAAACGGCGACATTCGCACATTATTTGACGGCGCCAGGGTAACGGTATCACGTCGGTTGCATACTAAGGTTAGATTCTTTTCTCATTATCTCAATCGGTTCGACATAAATATTTCAACAAACTGTGCAAAAAGGTGAGAGAGGGAAAAGGTGATTGAACGTAGGTTCGATGAGCACGGTGGGTTCTAAAGAATACCAATTACGGATTTCTCTCCAAACACCAAAGAATAGCAGCTGTCGAAATGCAGATTTCTTGGATTTCCCCAATTCTGAGTACTATATCTGAGCATGGCTATGATGGTGGAGAAAATGACGAAAAGGGCATCGTAGAGCGGAAGAAGTACTTTCGAATGATATCTGCGGATTTCCCGTATACTTGCATGACTGAATTTACGCGTTTGAATAAAGCGCTACAATATTATTTTGCAACCCAATAAAACAACTGAGTGAAGCAGCAAAACTGCAATGGAGCTGCAGAAGAGCCAATAATATATAGGTCTTCGAAGACGAGAAAAATTTTGTGCACATGAAAGGAACTGTTTCGATTGAGATCTTCCCTGAGTGCAGAGACTTTTTTTAGAAATTCAGAATTAGACACGGTTAACTCGCAAAAATTTAGCACATCGAAAAGCACTGTCAAGAAGCTGAACGTCATGTCATCTGCCAAAACAATTTGCTAAGGAAAAAATGTTCGATCGCAGATCGGACAATAAATGTGCAACTTTCGCTGTGCAGTGACTCATCAGTCAGGTCCAGCCGTAGGCCTACCTTAGCAATTCGCTGCTATTCATTAAAGTACAGCGGAATGATACAATGGAATGGATGATAAATGGAAAAAATGCGCTAATTTTACAGGGAGTGAGAGCGCATATTGCACAGCAGATAGGAAAGAAAATAATCAGTTCATCGAGCCTACCACATCACGGATCGGCTCGTCCAATAACAATGAAATCGTCGATACAAGGGAACAACAATAACTGATGAAGAAATAAGGTCACCTGCACTGGCCAAGCAGCAGCATCTGCAAACGCGCAGATCGTATTTCCTTCCATCTGCTTTGATATTTCCCATAGCATATCTATTTCACTCGGTTTTGCTTTGCCATCCACAAACCGCCACATGACCTTATTCAACCAGTTGCATCCCTCCCGACATGGTGTGCACTAAACAACGTTTTCACGATATCAATGCGATTACAAATCTACAGCTCAAATGCAATGAATTCATATTTTCTTCGTACCTGTCCACAACTCTCGTGCTTGTAAAACAGTGAAAGACGAGCAATGCATTTGACAATATCCGACTGAAACGTCCAAAGTATATAACAGCCGAGAAGAAATAAGCACCAAAAAGGCTTCCAGACAATACCTAACCATTTGGGCGCAGCCGCGGCGAACGCGGCCGAGTTTATAGGTGGCCGCGAACTCAGGACAGCACAGTTCGCGGGCACCTCGAGTGCGTTTTCAACGGTTCGCGGACAGTATTGACTCGGCCGCGTTCGCCCGGCCGCGACCACATGGTTAGGTATTGTTTGGGAGCCCACCAAAAAGAGTCCGTAATGAGAAATGTGTATAAAGTACTGAGTACCTGTTTATTCATGACAATGACAGCAGCAGTTCCAAGACCTGACTGCACTTCTATTAAAGCATCATAGTCCATAAGAACATTTTCACATATGCTTCTGCAAATTACTGTTTATTTTACTCCTTAGTATAGAAAAAGTTTCCATACTTGGGAATGAGAGGCACGGAAGATCCTCCGGGAATGATCGCAAGTAGATTATCCCATCCGCCAATGACTCCACCACAGTGTTGCTCAATTAGCTGTTTTAGTGGAATTGACATTTCCTCCTCTACCGTACATGGATTATTCACATGGCCCGAGATGCAATACAACTGGAAACATCACAATTAACGCTTTGAACGCTCATAGAATTACAAAACACACAACCTTTGTTCCCCGATTGCGCTCACGTCCGAAAGAGGCAAACCATTCACCACCTCGGCGACAAATTGTTGGTGAAACAGCTACCGTCTCTACATTCGTAACTGTCGTAGGACAGCCGAACAAACCAATGTCGGCCGGGAAAGGCGGCTTCAGACGCGGTTTTCCCTGCTTTCCTTCCATCGACTCTAACAATGCCTAAAACTGACCGTGCACTTCTTTGTCATAACATAGGCGTGTTAAGTACGCAATAAATCAACCGAATAATTCATTCCTAACTGCTGGTGTCCTAATGAATGGTTTGTTCCTGATGAACTCCTAACTCACAAGATAAACTGTCAACAACCAAAACATTACCTTAGCCGTTTCATTGAAGGCATGCTCCGGGATTAGGCGCGCTTGCCTGTTCCATCCCGGGGGTAGTAGATAGGCGGACTAGCGTTGATGCTGCGCCCCTTTTGAGGCTTGAAAGTGCGCGCGAAGGGCGCAAGGATTTCGCCCGACTAGCAACGCACACCTTCGTCCGCAAGCCCCACCCTCCGCTGCCAGCTGCCACATGGCGCTGCGATCCCATTGCACCCAATGTTATTGGTACTAGAGCAACTAGAGTTAGGTTCATGAAACTCGTCCAACGCGCTCCTACTCTATCCTAAAATAGAATGCGGCTGAGATAGGGGAGGTATCTGTGCGGGGCGTAGTCGGTGGTTTTTTTTTGCTTTTTCTCTTTCCCTGACCACCTCCCACCTCTAACTTCACAAATGAACGCTTTTCCACACCCATTTTATCCCGGATCTTGCCTTTAAGTTCATCGAATCAATACTATCATCTTTGAATAGGTGCACGTTTTAGAGAGACTACCCCCTTATAACGGATTCTGATTCAAAATCTGGTTGAGGTGGCCAACCTTTCATGAAATTAATGGCAGTGGGTTTTGCCAGTCCATCAAATATGGTTATGTTTTGCATAAGCAAACACTCAGTTATCGGCCGATTTGATCAGTGCAAGGCCCAGCTGAATGAAGGAGTTTACCAAGTGTTCTCCTCTGCTTCAATTTTCAACAATAACTGCTGGTGAAATCTCACGCCTCAGCCACAAGGCCGTACACTCAACAACTCACTGTTTCTTCTCCACAAATGTAAGCACCAGCTCCGCGATGTACGAACACATCAAACGAGTACCCTGTCCCGAGACAATCCTTGCCAATGTATCCAGCCTGAAGGATACTATGATAGGGATATGAATTACGATAAATAAGATATTATGAGCGAGTCTTCAGATCTTAGGTACCATGTTATGGACAGAACGAGAACCACGCCAACGAAGCGGTTATAGCAGTCGGTATTTTTTTAAGAATTTGCGAAATTTGAAGTGACATCCGGAACTTGGATAATACGGATCAATCACTGAGTTAGCGCCAGGGTCAACCATGCATTAGATTTTTCCAACGTAGGAGTTATATTTTTACTTTTTATGGAGTGGGCATTTCAAGAAATTCGGAAAGAAGCAGATCTTAGTGATGTTGGTATTTTTTGTGAAATCTGGAGAAATTTTGAAAGTTTTGCCGTTTCACATATACCTCCACTTGGCACACTTAAAGTCTTGGTGGTAGCTTCGGAGTTTATCAGGATGAAGCGAGGACACTAACACTATCAACCGTTAGAAGGGGGTCATGTTGGGAACGCCCCGAGGAATCGAAATTACAATATCGAAATTTCCCATCTCGTGCAATATCGTGACAGCTGACCCTTCTCCGCGCTCTTCAAGGGTTAGTCGATTACGCGAAATACACGACTACCCTATCTATGCTTATTCTAGCTTGATAATTCCACACCTTCAACATCTGTTTATAGGCTCCAGTAACTAAGAAATGTTAATTCCAACATTGCAACACCACCTGCTTCGGATCGCGGGGGCGCCAACCTCAATACTGCCCGCTGGATCCTTGCAGTTTCTTGACACCCTCATCTTGCACTTGTTTGTGGAATTCTGCCATGCGATGTTCTAGCTCGGGACGGAAATGACGAATCAATCCCTGAAATACCTTTGGTGTAATAACGAATATGGCGCTCTCATAATCGGAGCCTCTACATAGAATGCTCTCTAAAACGACGAGTGATGACCTGAACTCATTCGGAAAAATGTAGCTGCAAAACTTACAGTGCGCTACAGAATTTCGTCCATGAAAATCAGCCTTAGAGAAACCTGACCCAGAAGTTCACGTTTTTAATCTCGATGACAAAGAGTTAACAGGATTGCTAAGAGGCAGCAGCCATGCGTGGGCGGGATCCAGCGAATTAAAAGCACGACGCAGGCGTGACACACGCCATGGTAGGGACTATCGATGCTAAGCGCTCAAAAATTCGAGTTATTAACAAAAAATTGTTAGAGAGATTCAAATGTTCTTGTAGTGAACTGATGCAGAAGGTTGCTAATAAAATGAAGCGTGGACTTCCCAAGTAAAAAGAAATTACGGAATAAACATTTTAGAGAGGGAATTCCCTGACCGCTTCCGTCTATTCTTGAGAGCGCATGCTCGCAGTTTTCTAAGATACTCCCATCTTACAGAAGTAGGCTTTGGAGGAAGATACTATCACCAAGACCTCAAGAACTTGCGTTATCAAAAATGGCTTGTAAAGTACTCGAAAGACCAATAGGACTACTTTTTGAATGGATGAATTTTCGAATATTAAATTGAAGAATATTACGAAGAGCTTTAACCTCGTAGTTCATCATGCTGACTTTAGGTTCCAAACTAATGAATTTGAAGGAAGTTGTACCCATTTGACGCAGGCTGAAACCTGCGTTTCCGAAAGAAAAGAACTCAGCATCCTTGCTATTAGAAATCCTGTAGATTTATCCTGTAGTTCTGTAGTGAAGCGCTTCTGAAGAAAGTTTCGATCCCCGAAAGAGTGAAAAGTTGCAGGTTCGAAAAATGATTCGCGTTTATTTTGAAAAGAGGTTAGTTTCCAATTCAAAGCGGAAGTTGAGCAAATTTTTCAAGGAATCTATCTGGGAAATCCCAAATTCGTTCTCGAATCTGCAAAACATCATTTTCGAATAATACCATGCGCGCTTAAAAAAAGGAATAGTTCCTTAGTAACTCAAGCTCCAGTCCTGCATGGAAGCAGAACAGCAGCAAAAGAAAAAAAATATAAATGATCACATGTATTGTAATTGGGAACTGTAAGTTCGGCTATGCTCTACCATCTTTAATAGTATGGTGTATTTCGTATTGATGGATCCCTTCCCTTTTGCATTAAGCATCAATGAGATATGTGTCAGGAATACCACCCACATGCCGACATGTCCACTGCCTTAAGTTTCAAGAAAAAAGTCTTGGAACAGTTTAAAAAGAAAAAGATAACTTCTTGCGATTCGTCAACTCCAGAAACCAGCGCTATCTGTCAAAAAAGCCATCACATTGCAACAGCAAACCTGTTTATCGTTATCGTTTGAAAAATAGCACCATTATTCATGACGCCACACTACCTAACTGTAACCGGTAACGTATCACGGCGCTACTGCAAGGGACGTTATTTTTGGCATTCCTAACCTTACGTCGCGAACCTTATGGGTTTTTTTTATAAATTCCCAATTGCGATGATCGCTCACAAGTTAACATGTGGCGCGTTTTCCAAGCCGATGTGCAATACATACATCTGAGTAGTGGTTTCAGACCACTCTAAACCCACTCTATCAAAGAAGTGCTCCAGTGCCTGCTCGTTCGATTGATTTATCTTAAGTGAACACAGAGCTGACGCAGCCCCGTTAAGAAATGTGGAAAATGACACGTTTTAACACTACAACTACGGCTGCGCTCAACTAGAAAGAATGGAACGAATAGCGAACTAGAGCCATATGAGTCACCCGTACAGCCCAACGACAGCTCTCACTTTACGGTGCATTATCTAACTGTTAAGACTACAACGACAATAAAGCGGTGAGTCACCTGCCATAAATTTCATTGGTGTTGATCTATGCAATACGACGCAACTATTTCACAATAATACTATTTATATTTTGAGGGGACTACAGCTTTCATAGATTCAACTTAATAATAGCCCTAATCTTGTGCCATCTTTCTGAACCACTCTCTATTTCGCAATCACTACCGCCTGTCGTGCATATTTTCACATCACGAGTGGTACTGCGTTGAGTGAAATTTTCAGAAGTATTGCAAAAATCGCTTCAACAAGCAAGCTACAACCAATAAATAGAATAGTTCGAAAGAACCATTTGGTTGGAACAGAATATCGTACCGCTCGCATCTTGCATTCAACACAACCTGTTGGAGCAAAAACCCCACCAAATTCTCCTCGTCTTCGTCTCTTCGAAATTTATTCCATTTCGCAAGAAAAACCAACGGATTTACAATAAGGTTATAATAGAAATACGGTATTGAGTTCATTCCCGAATCCCTTACTATCACAAGGAGCTCATCAGTGCGCAACTGATGAACCACCGTAACCCTGGTGCCGTCAATACCATGCGGGCCGCCGCGACCACATTCCGCACTGAGCTCGACGTCGAGCTTCAGATTTCGAGGCCTGTTGCCCAAGGGGGGGGGGGGGAGGGAAGGTTTGCTGATACATTCTGCTCAAATGCTCTCAAAGACACCAATTGAAACAGAACATGTCGAAAACCATATTACTTTCTAAATTATTCAAGACAATGCGGTCAACAAATAAGGCACTATCGCAATATACGGGGCACCGCGACGGCAACGCATTTAAAACCGTCAAAACATGCTTTTTAGGTTGTAAACGGAACTAAGCCTCGAGGGAGGGAAAGGAGTCTTCAGCGTGCATGAGCAGTTCACATATTCATTGAAGTCTGCCCGCCCTATTCTAGGCTTATTCCTAGGGGATGCCCCGCGTTTTGCGACAGCGCCTTTTTGGAATATGGGAAAAATGTGGAAAGAGCAGTAAATTGGTCAGATCCTGCTCAGAAAATATACAGATCTTGACATATTTACTTTATTAAAGCATGAGAGCCTTAGTATATATGCGGCAGGGTGAAACATGTTCTCTTTTGTTAGAGCACATGTTCTCTTTTGTTGGAGCAGAGCGAACATTACGTCAACAGATGCCCCCCATCGTGGAACAACAGACCTCCGGGATTCGTACCCGGATCTCTTGCTTTCCGGGCAATTGTGCTACCAGTTCCACAGTTTAACTGGGGCGAAAGTTTTGCCCACAATTCAGCATTCTTGTGATAACTTTCGCAACGCGAACTGCGGACGTAAAACAGCAGTTATTCAAATAAAAACTTGTGTTAACAAGATGCCCGTCTACATCACTGACTTCAGACAATACTATACCCATTACTAGTAACGGACTAATTGAAAGAGTTGGGCTGGTTTTGGAATAAATGTGTTAACATCATGACCCGTGTACCTCGGCACCTTTTTGCCCTATTTTTCCAAAAATCATCAAACCTTCTCAATGATTTCACTAGTGGTGATTGATGCACAGTTTTTCGCATAAAATAATGCATGCATACTGCCCTGAAATATGAGAAGTGCCAGAAAAATCGAAAAAAAAACTAGCCAGAATTGGTTAAAGTTAAGACGCGCACTGTGCGATTGTCTCACTGTCGTCAATGTGTAAAACAACATATTCAGCTTAGAACGAAAACAACGATGTTTCTTTTATCTTGCCAAACTTTACCCTTGTGAACGTCAGGTCAGAAGAATGCGTTTTGCAACAGACTGAGGCTGCTCCTGTTCTTCTGTCTTACAGTTGTGAAAGAACAAACACCCACAAACAAGTTTCCATCATCAGCACATTAACCGCCGCTCATCTCTGGTCCGCACCCTCCTTTACTTCAGTGATCATATAGTCCAAAAGCGAAGTAGTTCTTGGGAAGCTTCCTAATGTTTAGTTGTGTTCTACGAGTGAATTTTACCCTCCCATAGGTAATAGGCAACAGTTGCGGAATCCTATCAAAAAAGAGGAACTCACATCGCCACATTAGCTTGACTACGAAAAATGTACTCCTTCGACATTACAACATCTAAATTACACAAAACGCTTGCCACGTGACCAAAGAACTACGGAAATCTTCCTGGAACTCAGTCCTACGATAAATAAGAGTGAAAAGTCGCCAAAGGATCGAACAGTTGAGCCTGAACGACTACCGCAACCCCACACAGTAGATTTTGACTATGAATTCATCTACACAACGTTTACACAAAACTATAGTGTTGAGATATCGATTTCTCCTTAGAGATGTTTTGAAGAAGGCCGACTGTAGGAGTGCTATTCAAAGGTGCACGGCCCGTTTTGTGAACATAGCGAATACCTATGCCTGGGCAAGGTAAACATCTTTACAGCATACCACGCAAAACAGGCTGTACACATCTGCCAGACCGCAGGCCACTGTTACCGAAGCAAAGCTGAGACCAGAATACAAAGTTCTCTGCCGGTTTTTCAAATCATTCTCCATATGATCTGTTTTTTCGAAGAATGCTGTCCTGCTAAACGTGACCGATCTGACTATTTCAAGAAGTTTCTCTTACCTTGCACATGGCGCTCCTCGGAAAGAACACGAACGCCATCAAACTAAAGCCATCAGGACCGGTAATCATAAAGTCGCTTTGATCCTCGGTTACCGACCGGTTGCTTCGAGACGTCAAACGAATACCTGCATAATCGCATGTCCGGGTTAGAACTTCTCGTGGATATTATGAATGAAACACATAAAGCACTTCGAGTTCCTTAGCGTTGTGAGAACCTACTACCCAACTCTATCACCAGTGAAAAAATTACAGAGTTAACCAACATTTTCAAGCATGGTGGGTAATTTTCTAAAGAGATCACCCACTCCTTCAAACATCCGCTTTTTTTCAAAATAAATTTAGGCGAATGCAGGGATAGATATGCACTATTTCAAACAACTGAGGCAGGGTAAATGTGTAGAGATTTTACCAGTATGGTCACTCTCAATTTCCGGACTCTACGATT